CTGGGGGAAATTTAGGGATGCAGGGGATGTGGTACCCTCTGGGAATTTTAGGGATGCAGGGGACGTGGTGCCCTGGGGGAAATTTAGGGATGCAGGGGATGTTGTGCCCTGGGGGAAATTTAGGGATGCAGGGGATGTGAGCCTTCCCTTCTCCAATGAACCCTCCCAACCCGGCTCCAGCCCACGTGGAATCATTTCGGTTGGGAATGGGAAGAGGTGCCACGTGGCCCTTGGAGCAGGGATCGGCTCTGCCAGGGCTCTCCCCCCGCTGTTAATTGGCTTCGAATTAGCTCGCTCTGCTAATTAGCCCTTGCTCTGGGCACAGCCCGAGTCATCCAGACATCTAAAAAAAAAAAAGGGAAAAAAAAAAAGCTTGGAAAAGTGTTGCCGCGCGCGGCTTCGGCGTCTCCATGGCAACGGGAGAGCGCGGCCAAGGACGCGAGACATTCCCGGGAAAAACGGGACGTGCTGGTGCCAAGGGAGACCGCGGGGCTCGTCCTCCCTCGGGGCAGAGCCGCATCCCAACCCTCGGGATGAGAGACGAAGGGAGAGAGCCCATGGAAGGGAAGGGAGACACGGCTCCAGCCGCTGGATTCCCGTTTTCCAGGGAAATCGGAGCTCCGGGGAGACCTCGCTGCGATCCGAGCCTGTCGGGGGGCTGGGAGGGGGGGGTTTGGAGCTCACATCTTTTCCCAGAGCAAATTCCCGGCGTGGGGGGGGAAAGGATTCCATCCAAATCCCGGCGGGTTTTCAGTGGAAAACACCCCCCTGCATCCCTAAAATTCCCAGAGGGTATCACATCCCCTGCATCTCCAGGGCACCACATTCCCTGTATCCCTAAATTTCCCCCACATCCCCTGCATCCCTAAATTTGCCCCAGGGTACCCCATCCCCTGCATCCCTAAATTTTCAGGAAAACTCTTCCCTGCAATTAAAAAACGGGGGATGTTTTTGGAAGTTGTTCCTTCTCCCGGTTCCAAAGGGATGTAAATCCCGTCAAACAGCTCCCGTTCCCAATCAGCAGCAGAAGGGAAAGGAATTCCAGCCGGTTTGGAGCATCCCAGGGAAAAGTAGGATTGACATCAAGGAAGAAATAAAACCCAGGGATTCCTCTCCCTTCCTCTGCCCAGGATTGTTTGGAAAACCAGAAACGACTGGGAAGTGGCTCGGCTTTGAAGGGATAACGGGAATGTGCTGGATCCTGCCTCCCTGGGGCATTCCCAGCCTCTTCCAGGGGCATCCCTGGGAGCTTTCCCAAAGCTTTTTGTGTCCTGCTGCCGCCTGAGGTGTGTTCCAGGTGGGAATCCTGTTCCTCTGGAGCGGGAATGCCGTGTCAGGATGCTCCTCCTTTGGCCTCCACGCCCTTTGGATGTGGGGTTGGGAAGAGCAGAGCGCTTTTCCCTCCGGGAAGCTGGTTTTTTAAGGATGCTCTCCCTGTCTTCTGGGTGATTCCGCAGTTTCAGGGGCTCCAAGGGGAGCAGGAGCACCTTCCAAACCTTGGAATTCCCAGAGCTCGGCCACATGGCCGTGAGGCACCATCCCAGCCATCCCTAAAGCTTCACTTGGTGGGATCAGGAAATCATGGAATGGTTTGGGTTGGGAGGGACCTTAAAGCTCATCAAGGTCCAGCTCCTGCCATGGGACACCTCCCACTATCCCAGGTTGCTCCAACCTGCCCTTGGACACTCCCAGGGATGGGGCAGCCACAGCTTCTCTGGGAATTCCATCCCAGCCCCTCCCCATCCTCACAGGGAGGAATTCCTTCCCAATATCCCATTTAAATTCCCCCTCTTTCACTTTGAAGCCATTCCCTGTCCCTCCATCCCTCATCCCAAGTCCCTCTCCAGCTCTCCTGGAGCCCCTTTAGGCCCTGGAAGGGGTTTAAGGAATCCTTGGAACCTTTTCTTCTCCAACCTGGCCTTGGACACTCCCAGGGATGGGGCAGCCACAGCTTCCCTGTGCCAGGAAGAGCCTGTCAAGGTGGAATTTCCTCCCTGTGCTTTCTGGGAAAACGTGGGTGGGTGTGGAGGGGGGGGAGAAAAATGTTCTTAAAGCATTTGCCTTAATTAAGCTTTTTTTTTTTTCTAATATATATATTTGGAGGGACAGTCAGAGCCAGAAGAATCCACACATTCCCAATAACTCATCCCTCCAACGAGCCTGACTAAGCCCCAGGGAGAGCTCCCAGCGCTTGGATCTCATCGAAAAAAGGAGGAAAATCATCCTGGAATCGTTCCCTGCCCCAAAAAAAAACATCTCAGGGGGTTTGGTTGATGATTTGAGCACCTGGAGGGGCAGCTGCTGCTCCGTGGAGCTGGAGATGGAAACCAGCTCATCCAAAAAAACCCCTTCCCCCTCTAAGGAATCGTTCCTAAATGAGGGATTGGCACGGGAATTCCCTGGAGCTGGAGTTCCACACGGAGAATTCCGCCTGCTGAGGGCTGGGAAGGAGCAATCCCCTCATTCCAGGAAGGCCCGGGAGGAGGAAATCCCTAAGGAATGACTTTGTGGGGCGGGAAGAGAGGAGCAAAGTGCACGGAGGGATCCCATCCCATCCCATTCCATCCCGATCCCATTCCAGCCAAATCGGGCCGAAAACCGGGAAGTGGCCAAAGAGGATCTTCAGGGAAGGGTTTGGGCTGTGAAGAGACTCAAAATGTTCAAATCCCCACAGAACAGCCCTGAGCGCTTGGGGATAACAGGGGGGAAAGGTCCCTCCTTCCCAGTGGGAAATCTCATGGAATTCTGGCACGGTTTGGGTTGGGAGGGACCTTAAAGCTCATCTCCTTCCACCCCAAAAACCTCAACCCCTTCCCCTGATTCCAGCCTCAAATCCCAAAGGATTTTGCCTCGGGCCCTTCTGTGCACATCCCACATTCCAGACTCCCTTGAGTCACCAACTCCCCCTCCCGGAGACCAAAACAGGGATGAGGAAAAAGAAGGAAAACCTCCCCGGGTTTAAAGGGAAAAACAGGTGGAGCCAGAGCTGGAAAACCCTTTTCTCCCCAGAGCTTGGATGGGGGGGGAAAACTGAGTCCCTGTATCCAGGTGAATCCCACAGTATCCAGGTGGATCCCACAGTATCCAGGTGGATCCAACAGTATCCAGGTGGATTCCACGGCATCCAGGGGATGAGGGGGAACAGGGAGACGCCCCCGGAATGTCAGAGCCACTCCAGGAGCAGCTTCTGGCGCTGGAAAAGCGGTGAGTCACCATTCCCATGGCAACTCCGCTTCCCTTGGAGACATCCCGGGGTTGGGAGCCACCGGCAAGGACTGAGGAGTGCCCGGCACCTGGGAATCAGGGAATGGGAAAGGTGGGAAAGAACCTCTGAGCCCACGGGGTCCAATCATCCCCCAGCGCTGCCACGGCCACCTGTGTCCCCAAGGGCCACATCCACGGGTTCTTGGGGCACTTCCAGGGATGGGAACTCCACCCCCGCCCTGATTTAGGTGTAGATCCGGATTCAGATCCTGGATTTCGGGTGGGGATGCTCCCTCAGGGACAGCTGGCACTGCTTCCCGGACCTGGCACGGATCCCTGCCCAAATCCATGGAAACCCTTCCATGCAGGGCTCCCTGAAGGTGCCCAGAGCTCCAGCTGTGTGTGGGCTGGCTCTGGGCACAGACACTTCAGCAGCTCCTCTCCCTCCAGCAGATGCATCCCCGGATTTCACAGCTTGGGAAGAGCAGCAAAAACCAGCTGGAATCTTCGGGATGGTGCCAGGGCCGAGCTGGGAAGTGCAAAACAACTTCCCAGCCTTTTAGCAGCTGCCTCACACATCCCTCTTGGAGCCCTTCCCATTCCTCTGACATTCCACCTGCTCCCTCACTCTCCCATTCCTCACTCCACCTGTTCCTCACCTTCCCACTCCTGACACTCCACTTGCTCCATCCTCATCTTCCCACTCCTGACACTCCATCTCCTCCTCACCTTCCCATTCCTTACACTCCATTTAGTGCCTCATCTTCCCATTCCTCACTCCACCTGCTCCTCTTCACCTTCCCACTCCTGACATTCCACCTGTTCCCTCTTCATCTTCCCATTCCTGACACTCTTCTTGCTCCCTCACTTTCCCACTCCTGACACTCCACTTGCTCCATCCTCACCTCTCCCACTCCTCTGACATTCCACCTCTTCCTCACTTTCCCACTCCTGACACTCCATCTCCTCCTCACCTTCCATTCCTTACACTCCATTTGCTCCCTCACCTTCCCACTCCTGACATTCCACCTGTTCACTCCTCTCCTTCTCATTCCTCTCACATTCCACCTGCTCCCTCTTCACCCTCCCATTCCTGACACTCTTCCTGCTCCCTCACCTTCCCATTCCTCTGACATTCCACTTGCTCCCTCACTTTCCCATTCCTCACTCCACCTGTTCCTCTCCTTCCCACTCCTGACATTCCACCTGCTCCCTCGCTTTCCCATTCCTCACTTCATCTGTTCCTCACCTTCCCATTCCTCTCACATTCCACCTGCTCCCTCTTCACCTTCCCATTCCTGACACTCTTCCTGCTCCCTCACCTTCCCACTCCTCTGACATCCCACCCCCTCCTTCACTTCTCCACTCCTGACACTCCATCTCCTCCTCACTTTCCCACTCCTGACACTCCACCTGCTCCTTCTCACCTTCCCACTCCTGACACTCCACCTGCTCCTCCTCACCTTCCCACTCCTGACACTCCACCTGCTCCTCCTCACCTTCCCACTCCTGACACTCCACCTGCTCCTCCTCACCTTCCCACTCCTCTGCCATTCCACCTCCTCACCTTCCCACTCCTCACTCCACCCGCTCCCTCCTCCCCTATCCCACTTTTCCCACCCCCCCTGCTCCTCCTCCCCACCCCACCGACCCCACCCAGCCTCGGCTGTGGCTCTTTGGTGGCACCAGAAGCCACCACAACGTCCCCCCTGTGGAGACCCAACCACACAACCCTCCCCCCCAGCTGCCATTCCCAACCATTCCCGGCCATCCCACAAATCCAGCCTGACTCCAGCTGCAAAGTCCTGCTTGTATTTGGCTGGTAAAGTGCGAGGCAGGGACACAAGGCCTGGTGGTGGAGCTTGGACAGGACATGTGGCAGCTCAGAGTGGAAAAAAGGCTTTTCCAGGGCTGCTCCGAGGCCGCCGGAGATGGGAATTAGACCCGGAACGGCCCCCTCCCGATTCCCACCTCGCTGGAATCCTGGGAAACGCTCCAGGCACGACGAAAGAAGGACCAGGCCGTGTCTCTGAGGTGGAGCTCTACAAACCCTTGGACACAGCAAAGCACGGGGCAGGGAGGGCACACCCGCCCGGTTCCTCCGGGGATTTGGGATCACCGGGATCACCCGCTCTCCCAAAAAAGAGCCCCCCCAAGAGCCCCCAGCCTGGCTTTTTCCCCCCACAGTCCAGGAGGCTGGGGCGAGTTCCGAGCTCCAGAGGGTCAGGAAGGCCCTGGATGCATGGATTCCTCAGAGGACCTGCTCGGTGCTGGACGAGGAGATGTCCAGGAGCCTCCAGGCCGCGTAGGGATTGAGCTCGTCCTGGTCCCGGCACAGGGCCCACACGTAGAGCATCCTCAGCACCTTGTCCTGCAGGGAAAATCCCGGGATTAGCCAGGGCAGGGACACAGCTCCCAGCTCCCAGGCACAGGATCCACGTTTCTGATGGAGCTGGGGGGGCTCAGCCTGCAAAAAGGGGACTCCCAATTCCCAGTTCCCAGCTCTGAGGGGAAAGGATCCACGTTTCTGATGGAGCTGAGGGGGCTCAGTCTGCAGAAAAGGGCTCCCAATTCCCAGTTCCCAGTTTGAGGGGAAAGGATCCACGTTTCTGATGGATCTGGGGGGACTCAGCCTGGAGAAAAAGGGCTCCCAATTCCTGGTTCCCAGTCTGGGGGGAAAGGATTCCCGTTTCTGATGGAGTTGAAGGAGCTCAGCCTGGAGAAAAGGGGCTCCCAATTCCCAGTTCCCAGTTTTGAGGGGAAAGGATCCACATTTCTGATGGAGCTGAGCCTGCAAAAAAGGGAATTCCAATTCCCAGTTCCCAGTTTGGGGGGAAATGATCCACGTTTCTGATGGAGCTGAGGGTGCTCAGCCTGCAGAAAAGGGGCTCCCAATTCCCAGTTTCCAGCTCAGGGGGAAAGGATCCATGTTTCTGAAGGATCTGATGGAGCTGAGGGGGCTCAGCCTGGAGAAAAGGGGCTCCCAATTCCAAGTTTGAGGGGAAATGATCCACGTTTCTGATGGATCTGAGGGTGCTCAGCCTGCAGAAAAGGGGCTCCCAATTCCCAGTTCCCAACTCAGGGGGAAAGGATCCATGTTTCTGATGGATCTGGGGGAGCTCAGCCTGGAGAAAAGGGCTCCCAGTTCCCAGTTTGGGGGGAAAGGATCCAAGTTTCTGATGGAGCTGAGGGTGCTCAGCCTGCAAAAAAGGGGCTCCCAATTCCCAGTTTCCAGCTCAGGGGGAAAGGATCCCCGTTTCTGATGGATCTAGGGGGGCTCAGCCTGGAGCAAAGGGGGCTCAGGGAGAACCTTCTCCCTCTCCACAACTCCCTGCCAAGAGGGGGGATCCAGGGGGAGTCTCTTTTCCCAGAAAACACAAATCCCAGGACCTCGAGTCACACCAGAGGAGGTTTAGCTTGAACATCAGGGATCCTGTTTTTTCATGGAAAGGGTCCCCACCCCTGGAAATTCCCAAAAAACCTGTGGCTGTGGCCCTTGGGGGACATGGACTGATGATCCCAAAGCTCCTTTTTAACCTGAATAATTCCAGGATTCCTTTCCCTCCCACGGAGACCGTTCCTGTGATTTTCCTCTCTGCTTCCAACTTCCCTCTCCTGGAACTTCATCACAAGATCAAAACTCGCCGAATTTCCAAAATTAGAACCAGGGTTCCCAAAAATCCCTGCCTGACACACATTAGGAGGCCCCACTGCCAAAAGTTGGATAAGACTTGACCTTGTTTTTTTTTTTAAGCAGAAATTTCTGGGGTTTAAAACTGCCTGGGCTGGAACTTTCCATCCAAGATTTAGGATCTTTCCCGTGGCTCCAGCTCTTTCCCTGGGAGCTGCATTTGGAAATATCAGGTATTTTAAAGCAAATTTTCTTTATTTTTTTGGAGTGTTTCAGATGATTTCGCTTCAGTTCTGCCCCGAAGTGGGAAAAGTTGGGGGTCATCCAGATGTTTTTGGGATGTACCAGGAGGAAAAAGAGGGGATAAGAGAAGGAAAACACATCCACAACCATCCCAATGGATCTTTCCTGAGGATAAATCACTTGGAATAAGCTCGAGGTGAAGTGGCTTGAACTGATTTAGTGGTTTAAACTGATTTAGTGGAACCTGGATTTGGGTGGGTTTTTAGGATTTGGGGTTTTTTTCTGACCTGGTGCTCTTATTAATGGGGAATATCTTAATCCTCAGTGGGCATCTGCTCCATATATCCATGGAAAGGGGGAATTCTGGACCCCCCCAAAGGCAGATTTCTGCCAATCTGTCCCGAAATCTGCTCTGCAAACACCAGGATTTTAAAGAGATTCCCTTGACCTGGTTGTCCAAGGCCTCCTCTTCTCAATTTTCTGGGAACCTGAACAATTCCAAGCAGGCTAAAAATCCCAGGGGGGATTCCAAGCAATGCCTGTTTGGAGAATTTCCAGTTTGCAGCTGGAAGTTGTGGCTGCTCCAAAGCCCCCAAAGCCAATTTGGGGCAACCTGGGATAGTGGAAGGTGTTTAAGGATGAGTTTAAGGCCCCTTCCAACCCAAATCATCCTGTGATTCCATGGATTTGAGGCTCCTCTTCCCCTAAAACGCCCCAATCCCAGTCACCACCCAGGCTGCCACTTGATTAAAGCTCAATTTTGGTTTCCAGTGGAAGGTTTTAATGCATCTCCTTGATTTATTGCTGCCCCCAGAGAAACCAGACAGCCAACAGACTTTGATATCCTGTTCCACAATGATCCCATCAATATCCATCTTCCAGGAATGCACTAATTTAATGCAAGGAATCACTGGATCAGCTGTTCCTCCCCCTGCAGCCCCAGTGACAGGCTGTAAATCAGCCCAAGAATTCAAATTAATCCCCTTTTTTTTTTTTGCAAACTAAAGGTAAGGGTTGCAAAAAAAAAGAAAAAAAGCCAATATTTATTAAATACCTGTATTAATCCCAAGGAAAACGAGCTGGGAACTGCCAGCTCCAGACATCTCCCTCATTAGCCATCATTAAGCTACTTAAATATTGCACAGGCACGAGGCAAGTTGGAGCTGTCTGGAGTGAAACTCCTGGGAATAAAGGTATTCCAGAGGCTCCTCTGTCATCAATTCTGGGAACAAGGATGTTCTGACAGCTTGACATCACTCCAGCCCCAACTCCCAAGGGGTGCCAGGGATTTGCTCCACAAATCATTCCCTGCCCGAGGCTTCCCCAGGAACCACACACGGCGTTAAATCCAATTTCTGGATGGCGGAATTCCATGGAATTCCACGGAATTTCATGGAATAAGGGCTTGTGGGGTTTTATTTTGTGTGAAGTGTGGGGAGGCAGCAGCCTCGTTATTAATTTTATTACTGAGTGATTTTAATTGAGTGATTTCCCCCCAAACAACTTCAACCCCTTGTTCGGCAAAGGATTTTCCAGTGCCTTTTAGGAAGGGAAAAAAAAGAGGGAAAAAGAGTAGGATGAGGCTGTCCCAGCCCCCACTCACCGGATTTCCTTCCACCACCTCTCCTTTGTGGTTCTTTATCACCATCACGACCTGAGCCTGGAAGGTGATGATCAAAACTGGTCCCTGCTCCATCATCTTCCCCATGGCCAACTGCAAGGAGAGGGAATTCCGTCAGAAAATAAGGAAATCCCCTCAGAAAAACAGAAAATTCCCTCAGAAAACTAGAAAATTCCCTCAGAAAAGCAGAAAATTCCATCAGAAAACTAGAAAATTCCCTCAGAAAACCAGCAAGTTCCATCAGAAAACTAGAAAATTCCATCAGAAAACCAGAAAATTTCCTCAGAAACCCAAAAAATTCCCTCAGAAAACTAGAAAATTCCCTCAGAAAACCAGAAAATTCCCTCAGAAAAGCCAGAAAATTCCCTCAGAAAACCAGAAAATTCCCTCAGAAAACCAGCAAGTTCCATCAGAAAATAAGCAAATTCCATCAGAAAACTAGAAAATTCCCTCAGAAAACCAGAAAATTCCCTCAGAAAACCAGAAAATTCCCTCAAAAAACCAGAAAATTCCCTCAGAAAGCACACAAATCCCATCAGAAAACCAGTAAATTCCATCAGAAAACCAGAAAATTCCCTCAGAAAACCAGCAAATCCCAACAGTGCCCTGCGGGAGCCGCTCCCTGCCCGCCCAGAACCCTCCGGAACGTTCCAGAACAGCAGCCTGGACTCTCTCCAGCCATTCCTGCCCTGCCTGACCTTGAGGCACGGCAGGAATGTCCATGATCCTGCCTGAATCCCCCGGGAATGTGCTGTTTGCCTTTGGGATTAGCCTTCCCCAACCCAGCTGCTGCTGAGCCGAGCCAAGGTGCCCCGGGAGCAAGGACACAAACCACACACTCGGGCTTGAGCACAAAATTCCAGGAGTTTTCCCTTCCGGAGCGGGATTCTCCCTCCCATCAGAGGGATTCTCCCTTCCAGAGTGGGATTCTCCCTCTCAGCAGTGGGATTTTCCCTCTCAGCAGTGGGATTTTCCCTTCCAGAGTGGGATTCGCCCTTCCAGCAGTGGGATTTTCCCTCTCAGCAGTGGGATTTTCCCTTCCAGAGTGGGATTCTCCCTTCCACTAGTGGAATACTCCCTTCCACAGTGGGATTCTGCCTTCCAGCACTGGGATTTTCCCTTCCAGAGTGGGATTCTCCCTCCCAGTACTGGAATTCTCCCTTCCAGAGTGGGATTCTCCCATTCTACCAGTGGGATTCTCCCATTCCACCAGTGGGATTCTCCCTTCCAGAGTGGGATTCTCCCTTCCAGCAGTGGAATACTCCCTTCCAGCATTGGAATTCTCCCTTCCAGCAATGGAATTCTCCCTTCCACCAGTGAGATTCTCCCTTCCAGCAGTGGGATGCTCCCTTCCAGAGTGAGATTCTCCCTTCCAGCAGTGGGATTCTCCCTTCCAGAGTGAGATTCTCCCTTCCAGCAGTGGGATTCTCCCTTCCAGAGTGGGATTCTCCCTTCCACCAGTGGGATATTCCCTCCCAGCACTGGAATTCTCCCTTCCAGCCCTGGGATCTGTCCCTGTGGGAGCAGAGCTGCCCAACCCCAGAGGCAAAACCCAGCAGTTAAAGCAAAAACGGTTGGATTTGATGACCTTGGAGGTGTTTTCCAACCTTAAAAATTCCAAGAAAACCCCCGCTGAGTTTAATCCAGGCCCCAAAGTGAAATCCTGGGACACTCACGTCGATGTTGTCGATGTCCAGGATCCTGGAATGGAACTGGAGCCCCAAGGCTTTGGCTTGCTGGATGGGATGAGCCAGCTGGCTGTAAGTCTAAAAGGAAGCAACAAAAAAAACCCCTTTGGAATTGTCCTGTCCCAAAGAAAAAAGGGGAATTTCCATGCAGGGAGAACTAGCAAAAAACCAAAGGGAAGAGGGATCTGCTGGGATATTGCAGTGGGATATCCAGGGATATCAGGACTCTCCAAGCACCACCTTTTGGGGGCAGCTCGGGTGTCCCTGCAGCTTCCCAGCCCGTTTTTGGGGATCTCCCAAAGCCCTAAATAATTTTGGGAAGGTGCTGGATGGGTGTCTGGTAGCAGAGAGCTGCACCAGCGCTCCGGGGTTCCCCAGAATTCCCTTCTAAATCCCATTTTTCCCTGCCCAGGATGTGTGGACACCAAGGCATTCCCAATCCTGGGCAGACAGGGAGGAACAATCTGGGATCCAGGTTGTTTTCCCAATTCCCAGCCAGCCCTGGAGGCAGCCCAGCATTCCCTGGCTCCTCTGAGGCACAGCTGGATGGTTATTTATGGATCAGAACCCTCGGGAATGCTGAATCTCTCCCTGTTTCCAGCATTCCCGGAGCATTCCCGGCAGGAATCAAACAGCACCTCCCTCCCCCGCCAAGGACCTTCCACCCTTCGCCACGAGGGAACATCCCCCAGGAATTCCAGGACTGGAGCCACAGAGAGGGAATTCCAAGGGCAGCAAATCCCAAAGCATCCCGGTTTGAGCACACAATTCCAGGAGTTCTCCCTTCCAGAGCGGGATTCTGCCTTCCAGCACTGGGATTTTTCCCTTCCACCAGTGGAATTCTCCCTTCTAGCAGTGGGATTCTCCCTTCCAGAGTGGGATTCTCCATTCCAGCAGTAGGATTTTCCCTTCCACTAGTGGGATTCCCCTTCCAGAGTGGGATTCGCCCTTCCAGCACTGAGATTTTCCCTCCCAGAGTAGGATTCTCCCTTCCACCAGTGGGATTTTCCCTTCTGGAGTGGGATCCTCCCTTCCAGAGTGGGATTTTCCCTTCCACTAGTGGAATACTCCCTTCCACAGTGGGATTCTCCCTCTCAGCAGTGGGATTTTCCCTTCCACCACTGGGATTCTCCCTTCCACCAGTGGAATTCTCCCTTCTAGCAGTGGGATTCTGCCTTCCAGAGTGGGATTCTCCCTTCCATCAGTGGAATTCTCCCTTCCAGAGTGGGATTCTCCCTCTCAGCAGTGGAATACTCCCTTCCAGCAGTGGAATTCTCCCTTCCAGCAGTGGGATTCTCCCTCCCACCAGTGGGATTCTCCCTTCCAGAGTGGGATTCTCCCTCCCAACAATGGAATACTCCCTTCCAGCACTGAGATTTTCCCTTCCAGAGCGGGATTTTCCCTTCCACCAGTGGGATTTGGGATAAAACCCCCCCACGGATTTTGTGCTGCCGGTTTTATTCCAAGGCTTTAACGATCCCAAACTCATCCTGTGGGATGACTCCCTTAAGAGGCTTTACCTCCAAATATCGGGAATATTCTCCCATTATCCTCCCCTTTCTTATTTTCCTGCTGATTCTGGACTTAAGAGCTTTAATTTCTAATTACAAGGCTCCGAAATGTTTGATTTTTGGGCTCGGGAAGCACAAGGAATCCACTGCTTTTCCCAGGGGAATCCTTCCAAAATCCTGCCTCTTCCAGCCCTCTGGTGGTGGGGACACGGAGGAGACTCGCTCCGAGAAATTCCAGTGGTTAACCAGACAGCAGGAATATTTTGAAGCCTAAAATCCAATTATTTTGGGGCTAAAATCCAATTATTTTGGGGCCTAAAACACAATTATTTTGGGCCTAAAATCCAATTATTTTGGGGCCTAAAATCCAATTATTTTGGATTCTACAGCCCAATTATTTTGGATTTTCCATCACAATTGTTTTGGATTTTAAATCATAATTGTTTTGGATTTTACATCACAATGATTTTGGATTCTGAACAGAATTATTTTGGATTCTACAGCCCAATTATTTCGGATTCTACATCTCAATTATTTTGGATTTTAAACACAATTATTTTGGATTTTACATCCCAATTATTTTGGATTCTACATTCCAAGTATTTTGGATTCTACAGCCCAATTATTTTGGATTTTAAACACAATTATTCTGGATTTTACATCCCAGTTATTTTGGATTTTTACATCCCAATTATGTTGGATTCTACATCCCAATTATTTTGGATTTTAAACACAATTATTTTGGATTTTACATCCCAATTATTTTGGAATTTGCATCCCAATTATTTTGGATTTTACATCACAATTCTTTTGGATTTTAAACACAATTCTTTTGGATCCTACAGCACAATAGTTTTGAATTCTACATCACAATCATTTTGGATTCTAAATCCCAATTATTTAGGATTCTACAGCCCAATTATTTTGGATTCTAAACAGAATTATTTTGGATTTTGGAGCACAGTCATTTTGGAGGAGTGAAGCCCAGAACAAATCTATTTTCAGGCAAGGCTCTGCTTCCATGGAGTCAAAAAATACAATATATTATATTATTATATATATTATATATACTATTATATTATGATATAATATATTATTATATTTCTGACATAAATCCCCTCTCAGCCTCTTCTCCAGGATGACCAGGCCCAGCTCCCAAGCCAAAAAAAAGCCCAATAAACCCCCTTCCAAGGGAGAATTCCCCCCTTCCCAGGACATTTCCAGGAGCTCCACTCACGGCCTCGTAGCACCAATCCTTGAGGATCTCGAGCTCCCCGGATATCAGAGCCTGGGAAAAGGGAATAAAACAGGGACATTTTAACACAGGGTGGAAATAAGCAGCAATTCCAGCAGCAAAACACCCTAAATCCAAGGAAAACGGGAGTTTCAAAGAGGAACAGGAATAAGGACTTCAAAAAACACGCATGAACTGGGTCCAATAAATCCAATAAATTTCCAGGATGAAGCTCCTAAACCTTCCTGGTAAACTTTCCTGTTGAATTTCCCGTTAAAATTTCCAAAAAAGTCCCCAGAATTCCCATTCCTGGGGAATCCTGAGGGGTGGGATCGAACAGAAGCAGGAGGGACACGCCAAGAGTCAGATCAGGAAGTTTTCGAGGTTCTGAAAAATTCAGGGCCTGGAACGACCAGATTCCACTGGAAACTCCTGGGAAAGGTTTGTCTTTGAGAAACCCCTGGAATTCTGGACTAAACCCCTGGAATTCTGGACTAAACCCCTGGAATTCTGGACTAAACCCCCTGGAATTCCTGACAAAACCCCCGCTGGGTCTGTTTTTGGCAGACACCAAAAATCAAGTTAGCTCAGGGTGGGAAGGGTGGTTTTTAATCCAATGCTTTATAAAATTGTAAACTGGCAGGAAAAATTCCTTCTCCAAGAGGTTTTTCCCAACTTTTCCCTGGCACTGAGAGGAAGAGCAGATTCCCAGAGAGCTCCCTCTTGTCCCTGAGCCATCACATCCCAGGAAGTCAGGGACAAAGCCCACTTGGGATCAGTTTTTATTCCTCAGATCAGTTTTAATTCCCCAGATCAGTTTTTATTCCTCAGATCAGTTTTTATTCCCCAGATTTGTTTTTATTCCCCAGATCAGTTTTTACTCTTCAAATTAGTTTTTACTCTTCAAATTAGTTTTTATTCCTCAGATCAGTTTTTATTCCCCAGATCAGTTTTTATTCCCCAGATCAGTTTTTATTCCTTAGTTTTTATTCCTCAGATCAGTTTTTATTCCTTAGTTTTTATTCCTCAGATCAGTTTTTATTCCTTAGTTTTTATTCCTCAGATCAGTTTTTATTCCTCAGATCAGTTTTTATTCCCCAGATCAATTTTTACTCCTCAGATCAGTTTTTATTCCCCAGATCAGTTTTTATTCCCCAGATCAGTTTTTATTCCTTAGTTTTTATTCCTCAGATCAGTTTTTATTCCTCAGATCAATTTTTACTCCTCAGATCAGTTTTTATTCCCCAGACCAGTTTTTATTCCCCAGATCAGTTTTTATTCCCCAGATCAGTTTTTATTCCCCAGATCAGTTTTTATTCCTTAGTTTTTATTCCTCAGGTCAGTTTTTATTCCCCAGATCAGTTTTTATTCCTCAGGTTAGTTTTTATTCCACTGACCCTGCTCTTCTCCTGAGTCCCAGATCCTTTTGGCACGCCCCAAATTCCTTCCCTTATCCATTTTTTATCACCCCCTTCCCTTTGATCCCTCTGATCCCTCTGATCCCACATCATTTCTCAGGGCAGAGGATGATTTGCTGTTTTCCAGGCCAGAAAAAGAATTTATTAGTCTTTTAAATAATGAAATATTCTGAGGGAATTTTCTGCTTTTCTGAGGAAATTTACTGTTTTTCTGATGGAATTTGCTGGTTTTCTGAGGGAATTTTCTAGTTTTCTGAGGGAATTTTCTGGTTTCCTGAGGGAATTTGCTGGTTTTCTGAGGGTATTTTCTAGTTTTCTGAGGGAATTTTCTGGTTTTCTGAGGGAATTTGCTGGTTTTCTGAGGGAATTTTCTGGTTTTCTGATGGAATTTTCTGGTTTCCTGAGGGAATTTTCTAGTTTCCTGAGGGAATTTTCTAGTTTTCTGAGGGAATTTTCTAGTTTTCTGAGGGAATTTGCTGGTTTTCTGATGGGATTTATTGGTTTTCTGAGTAAATTTTCTGGTTTCCTGAGGGAATTTGCTGGTTTCCTGAGGGAATTTGCTGGTTTCCTGAGGGAATTTGCTGGTTTTCTGATGGAATTTGCTGGTTACTTGGGCTCCAACTTCCTTTCCCAAGGATGTTCGAGGAGCAAATCCCGCCCCGCCTTTTCGTTTGGGCGACGGGAAAAAAATGAAAGGACGAAGTAAAAAAAAAAGTAAAAACAAAGTAAAAAAAGGGAAAAAAAAAAATCCAAGGAATGTCTCCCTCCCTCACCTCCAGGACGTTGGGGATGATGTCCCGCTCACACTGCTTCAGGAAACGATCCTTGTCAAAGGAGGGATCCACTCGGAGGATCTCCGTCAACACCTCCGACATCTCCGTCTTGGAGAACAATCCACCTGGGAAAACAAGGCAGTGGCACAAAACCAGCCCTGGAGGGGGTGTAACAAGGCAAGACCAGAGGGAGGAACAACTCCAGGCTTTAAGTTAAGCCTGAGATTTATCCCAGAGATTTATCCCAGGCTTAACTTGTTACCTCAGAGCCCTTCTGATCCCTGCGCGATCCCGGAGAACGATCCAGGCAAAGCGCGTGGAAAACGTGTGGAAAATGCTGGAAAGCTCCCAGAATTTGTCCCAAAAGGTGGGAAACAGCACAAGGAGGAGCAGGGGGAGCTCAGGGAGGAGTTGTTACCTATCAAGTCGGTGACTTTGTCGGTGACGGCGCGGGACGCTCGGATGAAGGCGTTGTCGCTCTCGTCGTACTTCATCTTCATCTCAAAGAACCCTGCCAGGAGAGCAGAGAGAGCTCAGAGCCCCTCCTGATCCAGGAAACCTGCCAGAGGTTGGGAATCAGAGCTCCCAGTTCCCTCCTCAATCTCCTGGATCACAACAGGCACCGACCACGAGGGACCTTTCCCATCGTCCTCCTTCTCAACTCCCAAGAATTGGTTCCCAACTCCCAGGAAGTGGTTCTCAACTCCCAAAAACTGGTTCTCAACTCCCAAGAACTGGTTCTCAACTCCCAAGAACTGGTTCTCAAATCCCAAGAATTGGTTCTCAACTCCCAAGAACTGGTTCTCAATTCCCAAGAACTGGTTCTCAACTCCCAGGAACTGGTTCTCAAATCCCAAGAATTGGTTCCCAACTCCCAAAAACTGGTTCTCAACTCCCAGGAACTGGTTCTCAACTCCCAAGAACTGGTTCTCAGCTCCCAAGAATTGGTTCTCAACTCCCAAGAATTGGTTCTCAATTCCCAAGAACTGGTTCTCAACTCCCAGGAACTGGTTCTCAAATCCCAAGAATTGGTTCCCAACTCCCAAAAACTGGTTCTCAACTCCCAGGAACTGGTTCTCAACTCCCAAAAACTGGTTCTCAGCTCCCAAGAATTGGTTCTCCTGCTTCAGCTGCCACAAACTTTGGGAGCTTCTGGAAGATTTGCAGGCAGAAAACACACCAGAAAACTGCCCTACACCAGGAACAGTCTGATTAAATCAGGAACAGTCTGATTAAATCAAGAATAGTCTGATGACACCAGGAACAGTCTGATTAAATCAGGAGTAATCTGATTACACCAGGAATAATCTGATTACACCAGGAACAGTCTGAGAACACCAGGAACAGTCTCACCCCTCGATTCAGTGCCCTACAAGGGGCAGGAGATGTGAAAATCACCCCAGAAAGTTTCACCAGGGGTGGAAAATCATAGAATAGATCTTAAACTTGGCCAAATTTTTAATAAAACAGCCCCATATCAGTGAGGGTAAAGGTTTTAAGCAGCTCTAAGTACTTACACAAGGAACAGTCTCACCCCTCGATTCAGTGCCCTACAAGGGGCAGGAGATGTGAAACCCACCCCAGAAAGTTTCACCAGGGGAGGAAAATGATAGAATAGACCTTAAACTTGGTCAAATTTTTAATAAAAGAGCCCCACATCAGTGAGGGTGCAGTTTTTAAGCAGCTCCAAGTGCTTCTCAGCCTCGCTGAGGGAGGAAGCCAAGTGTGTCCTGGCTCCAGAATGGAAAACTCTGCAGAGGAAAAATCCCAAGGGCAGAAAAGGCAGGGGAGGACCTAAAAAAACCCAGATATTGAAGCAAACAGGGCATTGCTGCAGCAAATCAGGGCTCTGGGCACCATCAGAGGGATCAGACCCACAGAAGGGAGAACGGGCCCTGCAGGGAAGTTCTTTGGTTAAAAATGGGAATTATTCCCTGGAGGATTCTCCCGGTAGGAACACGGAGTGTTCTCAGCGTGGGACATCCAGGTGGTACCTGAAGGCAGAGCCTGGGGCAGCTGCAGCTCAGCCTGGACTCAAAACCAGCCTTGGAAAAATGCCTGAAGCCTAAAAAAAACCACCCTCCAAGCTTGGGCAGATGGCTCAGGGCTGGAGGGGGGGGAGTTTGAGGAGCACCTCTCCTTGGAAAGCCCAAAAAGTGGGATGTAAAACCCACTCCTGGACACTTCCCAAGGAGCTCTGCTTTAAAAGCTGGGAAGAAACAGGATGTGAAGTTAATTATGTTGTACTTTCACACGATCATTTGGTTCCTGAACAAATCTTTTCCCCCCTCCAGCACTGCCAGGGATGGGTTTGATTTGTTGAAGGGTTCTGGTTTTAGGGCTTTTTCTGCCTCTCAGAAACATGAAATCCCTAAATAAACTACCCAAAGATATTCACAATTTGTAAGGTTTTGCAATAAAAATGGGAAGGAGGCAAAGTCCCAGATATTCCAGAGATCTGGGCAGGGGCCAACAGAAACCAGATTTTAGGATCAGGGAATCCCAGAGTGGTTTGGATTGGAAAGACCTTAAAGATCATCTCATTCCAAACCCTACCATGGGCAGGGACACCTCCCACTATCCCAGAGTGCTCCAATCTGGCCTTGGACACTTCCAGGGATGGGGCAGCCACAGCTTCTCTGGGAATTCCATCCCAGCCCCTCCCACCCTCCCAGCCAGGAATTCCTTCCCAATATCCTATCTATCCCTGCCCTCTGGCACTGGGAAGCCATTCCCTGTGTCCTGTCCCTCCATCCCTCATCCCAAGTCCCTCTCCAGCTCTCCTGGAGCCCCTTCAGGCCCTGGAAGGGGCTCTCAGGTCTCCCTGGATCCTTCCCTTCTCCAACCCAGCCTTGGACACTTCCAGGGCTGGGGCAGCCACAGCTTCTCTGGGAATTCCATCCCAGCCTCTCCCCACCCTGTTGATTTATAAGGATTCTCCTCAGCTCCAGGCCAGGAGGAGCAGACCTGGTGCCCTCTCCTGCCCCCTCCCTGCTGCAGGATGTGCCCTTCCAGCCTCTTCCCAGAGCCACCACGAGGCTGATGAGGGAAAAACGGGGACAAAGAAGAGCTCCAAGAGTTCTTTTGGAAAACAGGTTTTGGTGCCTGCAGGGACTGATCCAGCAGGAGGGGCTGGAACACAGATGGAGCATTCACACCACTCCCAGCACCAGCTCCAACCCCTTCCACAGGAAGGCTGGGAATTTGGGATTGGCACAGATGGAATGAGACCCACACCAGCAGGAATCAGGGCTGGGAAAAAGAAGGAAGCTCCTGCTTTGCCTCTCAAACACTCACTGTTGAAAACCACGTTGTTGTCCTTGAAATCTTTCCACTGCTGGTACCACTTGGAGTCTTTGTGCAGCACCATTCCCATGGCCTCCCTGGAAAGGGCAGGAAACAGGGATAAAACATGGAGACAGGGGAGAAAATCAACTTACAACAGTGGGAGAACAAAGAGGAGGAACATCCCTGCAGCCCTGAGGCTGATGTAGAACAGAAGTGAGGAGACACATCAGTGATAAGCCCATAAATTATACACCAGATAAATCAGAACCCCATAAATTAATTATAATCAGAATTACTTAGAATTATAATTCTAAGTAAATTAGAACCCCATTAATTAATCAGACACCCCATAATTGGTACAGCAGGGAAATAACACACCACATAAATAATAATTGACTGAGAGGGTTGAAGCAGCAGGGGAGCTCAGGCTCAGTCCTAATTCCAAGCCTAAATCCATGTGAAGATGTTAAAACTGACAATAAAACACGTGCCCAAGTCAAAATTTCATCTTTGACCATTAAATTTATAAGTTTCAAGTGCCCACTTTCACTCTGGGAAGACTCAGGATCATCAGCTCCCGCTGGGAATGTGCTCCAGGAGCTCCCTGTTCACCCCCCAAAGCCTCATCCAGCTCCTGGCTTTTAATCCCTGCCCTGTAGTTCAGTTTGGAAGGGTTTTGTTCAATTAGACACAGAAATACCCACCCCAGATGAGCCCAATACCTACTCATTAGCCTCAAATATCCTCTCCTCTTTGATCCTCTCTCCGGAATATTCCGTTCGTTTCCGGAGCCGCTCCGGACGTTTGTAGGGCCCAGTTTGCCCCAAAACACTTTCATCGATTTCCTTCTTAACAGTTTCTACTCCCTGGAAGGAAAAGAATCCCTGTCAGGTTCCATTTATTGGCCCCCCCTCACCCTTCCCAGAAAGTGCCCCTGGAGCTTCCCTTCTCCAGCCTGGCCTTGGGCACTTCCAGGGATGG